CCACTGGTTCAAGATGGACCTGCGTGTGCGCGACAACTCGTCTCTGTCCCTTGCCGCAGCCAAGGCCCGCGAGGCTGGCGTGCCGCTTATTGCGCTGTACATAGTCAGTCCGCAGGACTGGGAGGCGCACTTGACAGCGGCGATTCGCGTCGACTTTATGCTGCGTACGGTGAAGGTGCTGCAGGCGGACTTGGACAAGCTGGATATACCGCTGCATGTGGAGGTTGTGGAGCGGCGCAAAGAGGTTCCTGGACGAATCGCGCAGCTGTTGAAAGAGTGGGACGCCAGTCATCTGTTTGCGAACATGGAGTACGAGGTGGATGAATTGCGGCGCGAGGCCAAGATGATGAAAGAGCTGATGGAAGGTGATAACAACAGCTGTCGGCAGCCTGTGGCGTATGAGGTTGTGCATGATACGTGCGTTGTGCCGCCGGGCAGATTGCATACAGGCGCAGGCAAACAGTATGCGGTGTATTCGCCCTGGTTCCGTTCTTGGATTGCCCACGCTCACGAAAATTTGGAATTGCTCGAGGAGTGTGACATGCCTGCACGAAATCCGGAATCGGCGCGCAAGAGATTTGGCAAATTGTTTGGATCCCCGATCCCAGAGGCGCCAAAGAGTAAGAGTTTGAAAACAGAAGATGCAGAAAAGTATGCGGCCCTGTGGCCGGCAGGAGAGCATGAAGCATACAAGCGGCTGGGCAAGTTTGTCAAGGAAAAGATCGAATCCTATGGCTCGACGCGGAATTTTCCAGCTCACAACAATACATCGTCGCTGTCTGTACATCTCGCCAGCGGTACGATCAGTGCGCGAGCATGTATTCGAGCCGCAAGAGACCGTAACTCGACCAAGAAACTGGACGGCGGCAGCCAGGAAATCAAGACGTGGATCAGCGAGGTGGCGTGGCGCGACTTTTATAAGCATGTGTTGGTGAACTGGCCCTACGTTTGGTGAGTTTTTGTGTCCTTGTTGTTTTCTGTTCTTTTATTCTTTTGCGATATGAAATGTCGAGGAGAAAGAGACTGACGGGACGATGCAGTATGAACAAACCATTCAAGCCCGAGTACTCCAACATTAAGTGGTCCTATGACCGAGAACAGTTCGCCGCTTGGACTCAAGGCAGAACGGGCTTCCCAATTGTTGACGCCGCCAGTACGTGATGATCCTCGTGCCTGCAAAACCTTGACTTCCACAATCTCATACCCTGCTAACACAATATCCTTCACATAGTGCGCCAGGTCCAACACATGGGCTACATGCACAACCGCTGCCGCATGATCGCTGCATCCTTTCTTGCCAAAGACCTCCTCATCGACTGGCGCATGGGCGAGCGCTTCTTTATGGAGAATCTGATTGATGGCGACTTCGCCTCCAACAATGGCGGATGGGGCTTCGCCGCGTCGGTAGGCGTAGACCCGCAGCCATACTTCCGCGTCTTCAACCCGCTATTGCAGAGCGAAAAGTTTGATGCAGAAGGTGACTACATTCGCAAATGGATACCAGAGTTGAGAGAGATCACGGGCGAGGCAATTCACGATCCGTACAATCGCGGCGCGGCAGCGATTGCGAGTAAAGGCGGATATCCCAAGCCGATTGTTGAGCATAAGAACTGTCGGGAGAGGGCGCTGGCTGAGTACAAGAAGGGTATATCCACTCCGATGTGAGTGTTTCTAGGGGTTGGTGATTTATGGAACAACATGAATGTGTTTGAGGAGTAGGTGCAGTCTCATTCTTGTCGAACTCGGAGCTTGAGCCGCATGAGACTGAGAATTGATTAATTCGCTTTCTGTGCATGTGGCAATGATTCAAATACCCATCATGAGAAACGCCATTAGCAACATCAACTCATTGTGCAAGTTTTCTGCTCCGTATGTCTTATTTGCCGTTGTGAGATTGTTTTCCAAATCGTCCTGCAGGCTGAAACACAGACACCACAGGATCAATGGCATGCAATCAACACAACAAAATACACCATCGCAGAGAAGAGGTCTGCACAATTCACCCAGAGAAATCAACAACCAAGATTCAGAAATAATGATTTACCAAAACCCCGCACGGCTGTCTCGAAGTGGCGCCAAATATACGAGCCCATTACTTACATCCCACCCCCCCTCCTTGTTTTGCGCACTATACTGCCTGAAACGTCTGCAAGGGCATCGAAACACATAATGAAAGAGACGTGCATTGCCATAAACAGAAAAAGGAAGAAAAAAAACTTGGGGAACAGGAAGATGTCGGACTTCAGATCAACGTGGCGTTAGAGATGGGAAGATGTGACTATAAGTCCTTCCACATGCCCAGTATATTTTTCTCTCTGTGAATTCTTCACTGTTGTGTCGTGTTTTTTAAACTTGCTCGATTGGGCTGTGGTGGTCGTGGGAAGCTACCGCGGGCAGCTTCTCGATACCTCGCTCAAGTCAAATTGTCCTCCTTCGCCTTGGGCCACGATCTCGATCTCAAGGCGCCATGAGCGACAAAATCGAGGAGCTTCCCTGCCCTATTGTGTCGATTCTCACTCAATCGACCACTACCCACCAGCCGCCCGACCGACCAGCACGCGTTCTCAGCTCCGCTACGGACCCCCCCCCCCACCATTCCCGGCGTCGAGCTTCGAGACCACAACAGCCACGATCACTGGTGACCTCACTCACTGTTACGTTCCGCATTTCTTGGATGCAAGCATCCAACGACGACTTGGTCAGTCGTTTGAAAAGCAAGCCGCCGAAAGTATGCGTCGAGCGTGCGCGTGCGTGTCCGTGCGTGTGGCTTTTTGGCATCGTCTCCGCCGACTGAGTTGGATTGAAAACCACATCGCCAAGCATCGATCGACGAGTTCAACTTAATGAGCTCAGATCACCTCAACTCAACACGCGTCGAGACGCCCAATCTCGCTCACTCACTCGCCAGCACCCAACCGTTCGTCCGGCCCAAACAGTCGAGCCCTGCCATCAACTGGAAGACTTGAAAGCGCAACTTCAGCAACAACAAGGCCTCAAAAGGAAAGAGTGAGAAAATATGGTCTGAAAGCGGTTGCAGTCAGACGATTTGACATGTTGAGCCACCGCTTTGACTCCATCTCAGCTCTGACTCCCGCTGGAAGACCGTTTTGTTTTCTTGCTTTCATCTCCTTCTCTGGCCGTTTGCTGCAGCGCTCGTCTGGAAGTTTTTGGAGAGAGCGTGCTCCTCTTTATTTTGCCTGGTCTTCTCCTTTTGAACCGACTCGAATATTCTTTTCTTGCCAATAAATATCGGGAATGAGCCAAAAGTCCTCCTGTCTCTTCTCTCACACGAGTGAGATTGAGGAGAGAGAAGACAAAGAAAGGCTGGACGTTGACGCCGTCCGGATCGACTTTTTTTCCTTTAAGCCAATCCAACGACTTTGCCGCTGGAAGATATGGATTGCAAATCGCACACCGAGGTGAAAGGACGGATAGGACAGTCACAGAAGAAAGCTATGGGCTGTATTGTACTGTGCCGTGCCAGCAAAGCAAACGACTCCGCGATCGAACGTCGAGCTCGATATCCCTCCAACGATGGTATCGTACAAGCTCTGTCGGTCAGCTACAAAACTTGCTGTGCTGTATACAAACATGCAGCCTACATCGTGTCCTCTTTCTATCTCTGCCATCACTCTCGTCTCTGGATTTTGTTGCGATACTTGCAAGTCTTCTCTGGAAGCAGGCCATGGCTATCACTCCTCGTTCATGCCTTTGAACACGATAAAGGGGAGATGGAAAGCAAAAGGTCAACCGTCGACGAAAATATGACCCATTCTGATCTTTTGATTTTTTGTTCTCTTGCTGGAAGACTATTCGCCAAGTCACCACACACAGTAATCGAACCGCACGCACGCTCACTCAAATTGACGCTCACCTCCTCGTATTTGTCCTCTCTGCTCGGGCCAATGTTCTCACGACACATCCGCATCCAGGGCGGCTATGACGGACACGACGGTGTGGGTCACTGTTATGCTGCTTAATTACTGAGTGGCGGTGCACATATATGCGAATAATCTGGAAGCGAAAGAACGAGGATGCCACCACACCCCATCACCATGCCCAAAATTCAGAATGGAAGATACATACACACCAGCCTCCGCCCTCTTCTTTTTCAGATCTTGATGCAATGACCTTCTGTGCCCCTGAACTGCCACCATCTCTTCCAACTGGGGAGAGATTTTACTGGCTGGGCTGTGACTGGCTGGCTACCACAAACGGTGGCAAGCCAGAGCTAGTCTCGAGTATCGAGATCGGACGGCCGTTTGAGCACCACATGCTCAGGGATGATAGATATACTTGATTTGGCATTGCTCATTACCCGGTTGAGATCGATCCCTTCACCGTGCGTTGAGCTTTTCCAGTTGAGTCGATCACATATTTCGCAGCAGATTTGTCCGCATCTTGTTCCGTGGCGTCGAGGATATGTATACATAAAACCAGCCCTTCATAATGCCGAGAGTAGGGCAAAAGTGGAAGTTAAGGTGGACAAGATACTGCGACCTGGTGTCGACATGAGCCATACCTAAACTTAACTTCTGTTCATTTATTTTGATTTCGGTCTTTCTTCTAGTCTTGTCTACGCTGCGGCTTTGTATGGACCAAATTCGCTAGGACTTTAAGACGCGAATCTTGGATCATGCTAGATGCAACCTCATCGCAAAGATCAATATGCCAAACATTACCAAGAATGTCAAAATAAGTCGTCTACGAGGCCTTTCTTTTCCCTCTCGCGCTCGTGCTCACTTCCATTATACGCTGAACTTCATACACTTACCAATGTCCCGTAGGCACGGCGAGTTTGCATTCGAAATTGTCTTGACTCGCTTTTCAGAGTCTTAGGAGCATCTTGAACCATGGGCCCCCCCCCCCAATAACAACACCAAAAAAAAAAAAACTCTCAACATGCTTGAGAGCCTCAAAGCACCATGACATATATAACTTCAAACATCGTCCTCACTGCCAAAAAAAGACAAAAAGAAGCCGAATTTCGACGGGAATTGAGCCCGACGTGGGGGTCGAACCCACAGCCTTAAGATTTAGACGTTGTAAGAGTACTAAGAGTCTTACGCTCTACCGATTGAGCTAGCCGGGCGTCTGGAAGACGCTTTGTTGAAAAAGAGTTTGCAAGATGAGTATATATACGTTGAGTAATGGTTGCGGCATGGAAATCGAGGAAAACAACCTTTGTGTGGGGCGGCTAGGTTTTCAAGACCCACCTCGGGCAATCGGGACGCGCCAGACGGGATTGAAGGCGGGAGCCGAGAAGCTGCGGCACAAGCATGTGCCAGATGATGATCGTTCAACCAGAACTGTCGTGGTACTGGCGTGGTCGTGGTCGTGATCCCGCAGCGTTCGCAGAGTTGATATCAACAAGCTTTTGACACAGTAGTAACGGGCCAGGTAAAATCTTGACCGTGTGGTCATACCAGACATTGCAGAACTCAGTAGGTCTGACTGGAAAGGCTGTTTGTTGGTTGCGTTTAGCCCAGATGTTGAAGCATCATCAGCCTGCCCCCCCCCCCAAGGCACGCGACTGAAGATGCTCCGGACAGAGGATACACACAAGTGATTCGGTCTTGGTCGGGTGCAAGCTGACTCGGTGCCACACCGAGTCGTGCTGTAGTGATGACCATATGCGAGCCGCCAAAGCAATTGAACGTCTTTGCAAGCGAGACACAGCTTGCATCAACATTGTGACTGTGGTGATGGGTGATATAAACATGTGATGGTGATATTGTCGAAAAAAGAACACAGTGTTATCTTGAATCTCCACTTGTCGCTCTGTCAATTGATGATGTTGACTGCAGTGGGGAGGAAAAAGCAAAAAATGATGCGGTGAGTGTGGATCGAACACACGACCTTCAGATTGACTGCTGAAGTTGACTTCAGTCTGACGCTCTCCCAACTGAGCTATCCCCGCTATTGAAATTCATGTTAAACAAAGTCTCTATATACGCAGTTTGTAGAGACCTGAGTCTAAGTCGACTATCGTAGCGAAGAGGCCTGCTTGATGCACACGATGCGGCGTCGCTTGGGCTCTGGAGCTTCTTTCTCACAGACTTCTGTGAATGAAGTGTATCTGTGACTTTCTTTAACCATCACCAGCAGGATGGAGAGAAGCATGCAGACCGAGGCAGGAGTTGGTCGGAAAGGGCGGATCCAGTATGGGCTCGCAAGCCACTTTGACGCGTCGCTGAAATTCGTCGGGTTGGTCAGAGACAGCCAGCGCCGGCCACGTCTCCATAAGCAACTATTGCTACCTGTATCTTGTTAGCCGCAGCAATGGCAGTCAATGGGAAACAAGAGGAAATGGCCATGGTAACGGACTGTTGTGCCCCTTATCCAGACAAGGCCGGACCATTATAGACAAGGCGGGCGACACTCGACCGCTACAAGCCGTTGCACAGGCAGGATGGCAGCTGTATGGTGATTGGTGCGGCTAAATAGTCTGGTTAATGTGGACGCGGCAGATGATGCAGAGGCGCTTGTCGAGCCAAAGACAGAAAGTGGCTGTTGATGCTGCGAATTTCTGGAGCTGTTAGTGGCGTGACCCTGGGCGGCACTGAAGTGTCCGCTAGGGGGCAAGTGCGACAGTGGGCAGCCCACTCCCAGGCAGGAGGGCGAGGGGCAGCTGCATGATGTTTTTCCAGGGCAGGTACGACCTACAATTAGAAGGATAATAATAGTCATCCTATGTGCGTCCATCGTCTCCGATGTCCAGTCTTGCCTTTGTCCTTTTCCTTCAGTCAAACTGTCTTCAATAATCATCACATGCACTGCTTCGCTCTTTCTTGAACCTGTTTACTGGACCCCGAGCATCGACCGTCATCAACGTCACAGGACCCACGGAAGCACTGAGAGCCTGCATAGCGACAGCCTTCGAATCCACAAGCAACTTTCTGTCTGTTCTTCACAGACTCAGTTTCCAACTCACATTTGGAGAGACACAAGACACAGATTCAAGAAGAGGAAGCAATAAGAAGCAGCAACCAAACATGGACGGCAAATCTGTAAGAGACCTGGCTGACCGCTCTGCAGAAATATACATATGAAGACAGCACGACTGACCAGAATAGAACCGCTCTTTCGTCCTCAACAAGCCTCTGGACGTTGGCTATGAAGATCGTCCTGTTCCTAAGCTGAACTCTCCATACGATGTCCTTGTCGCCATCAGCTGGACTGGTATCTGCGGCTCCGACGTTCACTACTGGCAACATGGCGGTATCGGGTCCTTTATCGTCAAGGAACCCATGGTTCTAGGTCACGAGTCGGCCGGTGTTGTTGCCCAAGTCGGCGAGGCCGTCACTAGTCTCAAAGTCGGCGACCGTGTGGCCGTTGAGCCCGGTTACCCGTGCCGCCACTGCGAATTTTGCCTGGCCGGCAAATACAATCTGTGCAAGAAAATGGTCTTTGCAGCCACTCCTCCGATTCACGGTACTCTGACCGGCTTCTGGGCCGCTCCTGAGGATTTTTGCTTCAAGCTGCCCGACAACGTTTCCCTGGAAGAGGGCGCGCTGCTCGAGCCCACTGCCGTTGGCGTCCACATTGTCCGTCAGGCCAAGGTGCAGCCCGGCCAGAGCGTCGTCATCATGGGTGCTGGTCCCGTTGGTCTATTGTGCGGCGCTGTCGCCAAAGCGTATGGTGCCAGCACTGTGGTGCAGGTCGACATTGTCCAATCCAAGCTAGATTTCGCAACATCCTTTGGTGCCACCCACACGTACCTCTCGCGACGCGTCAGTGCCGAAGAAAACGCTGCTAGCATCAAGGAGACGTGCGGACTACCCGATGGCGCAGATGTCGTTATTGACGCATCAGGTGCCGAGCCCAGCATTCAAGCGTCTATCCACACGCTTAAGGTGGGAGGCACATACGTACAAGGTGGTATGGGCAAGTCAGACATCATATTTCCCATCATGGCCTTTGCCATCAAGGAGGCAACGGCTCTGGGTTCCTTCCGCTACAACAGCGGTGACTATAAGCTGGCTTTGGAACTGGTCGCCAGCGGCAAGGTGGATGTCAAGAGGCTCATCTCGGGCAAGGTGCCATTTGACAAGGCTGAGGAGGCCTTCAAGAAGGTGTTAGAAGGGCAGGTTATCAAGGTCCTGATTGCTGGGCCAAACGAGAAGGTGTAACAAGGTATTTCGGGAATCTAATGCATTGATAGAGCGAATCAAAGAACTAGAATAAATGAAGGGTAGCGTTCTGCTTTTGAAAAAAACCAACCCCCCCCCCCAAAAAAAACCACACAACGACCCAATCATACGCTGGATGGTCCCTGTCCCATTACTGTAAGTAACCATTGATTGCAATTCGAAGAAGAATATGGAGGACGGTTTCAAAACGTAATGGCCAGTGTAAGAAGACCAAAATATTGAGGCGCATATGACATATCGCAGCCAAATAAAAAGGATGCGGAAACCAAGAGGGGCAAAAGAGTATGGTTCCATTGGGGTTCGAACCCAAGACCTATTCGGTTATCAACCCACATGTGGAGTGTAAACGAAGTGTGATACCACTACACCATAGAACCTGAAACTATTGTGAAAAAGTATAAAATCATAAATGATATTCTCCTACTTTGCACTCTTTTTCGTTTACCTCTCCTGGACACACTGTATTCTTATTCTACCATGGAACATTCTTCCTAGTGGCTCTATTGATCCAGGCATGAACCACTAATCAAACAACGTGCAAGTCAGTAACAATTATTCGACACTTCATGACAAGAATTCCGCATGTATGAAATGGGTAGAGTACTTTTGTTTCCCAGTAATTTAAGCTCGCAAATACCAAACATCAGGGAGACTTTGCTTTGCGTCTTGCGCCGAAAGGAAGTCTTCGAGCTGTTCCAGAGCTTCGACGCTTGACATCTTACCCTGTAGGCTCTGTGCAATATACTCGGCATGAGTTTGGTAGTCCTTAAAGAGACATTTCGGGAAATTTTGTCGTTCCCAAGAAGATTCCAGCAGGTTTGCGGCTGGTCCACCACCGCGTTCTACCCAGAACGTTACAGTCACCGAGCAGGGTCTCTCCGGGTATGCAACTTGATATTCTGCGTGGCATCATTGATGCTCCGCATTAACTGATTTGATTGTGCGGATTGCGGATTGTTACTGATTGGGACGCCTCTCAGATCGTCCCGGCTCCTGCAACAGTCCGACATCCCCTCTTCATTGTGGATGTTCCAGGTTGACGGAACGATGGCATCGCCCCAGGAACGGCGCTATCACGAGCATGTAATCAGGCATTCAAGTTGCCGTGTCTGATCGCCACAAGCCCATTGGTGGGACTGAGAGCAGGTTTATCGATCATCATACGGCGTAGAGCTCGACCTACCTCCTTTTGAAGCCAATCCCGGTACAGATTCTCGTGACCTGTAGTCTCTGTTGGCAAATACCTTTTTCCGATAATAGAAATCGAGGAAAATCTATGACCACTTTGAGGAAATGCATAGCTCGGCTTTTCAAAAGTCATGCAAGAAGGTGGCCAAGTCATCCAGTATCAAACAGCATCGCTCCAATGCCAAGATACTTGTGCTCCAGATCCCCAGCGGCATTGGCTGACAGCAGAAATCCATTACCATGTAATATTCCAATGAAGAGATCATCCTGGGAACCCGAAGCGTCGGGCTCTTCCCTTTTACAGGTTTCGGGTGAAGAGCAAAGCGGCCGGGGTACTCGCCAACGGGGATGCTGAGGCACAAACGCTCGCCGTTAAGCGTACGAAGTTTGTACACGCGGTGGAATGGAGAAGACTTGTGTTTCATCTATTACTTGACCTCGATAGTGATTTGTTATACTAGGGATATTGCGGAGATGACCTCCATGAGCTTTAAGACCATCTTCAAAGAGCGCGTGAGCAAGGGGTGACGATGTCGATGTCTATTATGCGAGCGAGGTGGGAATGACTCAACGTAAATTGAAATGGGCTGGGTTGAACTTTGGTCTCCATCAACGACGGAGTGCCCGTTGCTAAGCGCTGCCCTTCTGCCATGGCTTTCTCCGACCGCAGGGCCTCACCATTCACCCACACAGGCCAATTCTCCGCCACGACCAGAGTCCGCCAAATGTTTTGTTGAGTATGCGAACAACACAATGGCCCAGTGATTCCTCTTCAAAATTTCATTGTTTTCAGCCAGATCTGTGTCATGGGGGGTCACGAACACCAGGTGGTTGTTTATCTTGAGGCCAGACAAGTAACAACTTCAACTTCGCTTTTGAGCTCAGTGCTAATATGAGTAGTATTCACGCGGAGGTGCTGGGCGGCAGTTGTGAATATATTCCTGCGTGTGCTTGCGTGATGGAATGTAAGCCGAGATTAGTACAATGGAGTAGATTCACATTTACGCATGTTCCAGAAGCTTAGCGAAACACTATCCCCAAACACAAAAATGAGTTGCAGACATTCAATGACCAGAAGTCGGCGCTTGACTTGGAATAAGGAGCACCGTTCTGATGAATAGTACTTTTGAATGCGACGCAAGTCAAGCACCTTGCTTACCACATCTATGGGACATTGTAACAGGCGCATGTAGCAGTGAGCCCCTATCTGGGGATCTTTGCCATATCGAGGCCTATCATGCGGTCATGCAGCCTGTTGAATACTCCGTTGTTTAGACACTGGTCTGCTCGTATTTGGCATCGTGATTTTATCGTCACATCCGGAACAAAGTCCGGTACTACCTTTCTGGGGTTGCTCGGAACTTTGGCGGCCAGGGGGGTCGGTGGGAGTTGCATTATGATTCTCCTTTTCCATCCATTCTAGCCTCTTCCCTATACTCGCATAGTACTAGACTTAGTAGACTGTTCCCAATTGACACGAGTTGGATCCTAAGCGAGGGTGGGTTTCACCTACAAGGTAGTAAACGCTTTGTTCTCGCCAACGTCCTGAGCGACTGGGGGTCCGCGTTTCATAAAATCCGTTGGGCAAGGGTCGCAGCACCGATTGAGTTGTTTGAATGTTTCAATTTGACTGAACCGGCTCCACAAGCTCCTTGACACTTATTATGGCTTCGTGACCTCATTTTTGCGGCGTCTTGTCTGCCGTCCCCTGCCCAAAAGAAGGCTGTCAGTCCACGACTCCACGAGCCCAAATAACTTTAATCCACGACTCATTTCTCGAGGAACACAGCCTGACAGAAGGAACAGCGACATGGCTGCTACACACAGCAATAACATGGTGCTCGTTGGCAAAGGGAAAACAAACAGGAACGCTGTCGAGCAAGCGCCAGAAACCCCTTGCAGCGTGCTGACGCTCCACGAGGCATGGGCATCCACATCGTGGCCACTACCCTGGCAAGAGGCTCATTAAAGCAAGGCTCTGCCTATGGGGCTGCGTTGTGGGAATGGAGTAGTCGAGGCGGCACGGCACCGCCTGCGGAGGATTGGGTATATATCTCGAGGCCGATCGCTGCCGCTGAGGTTGAACACGCTTGGTCGTGAGAATTCTCCATTCCATCTTCGTCCTGCCAAACCGAGTTTGAGCCTCTCCTTTTATTTTCCAACAATCTATTCATTCGCTACCGGCAGTGCCGACGACCAGTTTTGACAGCTTCTCCTTACCACGCCTCCCCCAAAGAAAAAAAACAACAACCAAAACAACAGAACATCCAAGCTTACCTCACAATGGCCTTTACTCGCAAAGCTCTCGCTGCCCTGGCTCTGGCCGCCGCCACCAACAAGGTCCAGGCCGACTTTGGTTCCGCCTTCAGCACTGGCCCTACCTCGTCCGACACTTACATTGTCGAGTCGTGGGCTACCCTGACACTGCCCGCCGTTCCCTCCGACAACGAGGGCGACCTGTCGCTGTGGGTTGGTATGGGAACCTCCAATGGTGACCTGATCCAGTCCATTGCCGAGAACTACGGCACCTCCGACTGGGCTCTGTACGCCTACACCCTGATGGAGACCAGCGGTTCGTATTCCTGGATCAGAGCAAAGAAGCACAGAGAACCGATACTGACTTTGATATTCCTTCCAGCCACGTCGCAGTACGCCGACCAGGCCGTTGGCAGCACCGGCGGGGCCGGCACCGCCGTCACCTTCCACTACAAGTATGACGACTCGACTGGCAACTACACCCAGAACGTCATTGTCGGCGGATCCGTCATCTCGACCCTATCGACGAGCGACGGCCAGGCCGAGGGCTGGGGTTCCGCCGTCGAGTGCGCCGCCTCTGACTGTGGCACTGTCGGCGCCCACACCTGGTCCAACGTATCCATCATCCTTAGCGCTGCCGACGCCGCCTACATCGACACCCTCGCTCTCGGTGAGGGCGTCGAGGCTACCATGACCACCGCCGACGAGGGCATCACCTGGGAGGTCGGCACCATCGAGATCCCGGGCTACGACTTTAGCTCCGCCTCGGTTGTCGACAGCTCCAGCTCCGACTCGTCCTCCTCGGCCGCTGTGGCCACTGCCACTGCCGCTGCTGCTTCTGCCGCTGTCCCTACCGCCACTGCTGTCGCCTCCGTCGCTCCGGTGGCCTCCTCGGGCGCCTCGACTGGCCCCAGCTCTGGTACCGATCCTAGCTCTGCTTCCGGTGCTCAGCCCTCTGGCAGCTGGGGTGGTTCTTCCTCGTGGGGATCCTCTGGCGCGCAGTCCTCGCAGGGTGCTCATGGCTCGTACGGCGGCCACATGAACAAGGCTTCCCACGGCTGGGAGCGCTCGCGCATTGCCCGCAACTAAGTGTGATTTGAAGGTTGCTGAGTCGTAGATTTGCTTCTAGCTGACTGATACTGAGTAACGATTTGATTCATGATTGGTGGGATTGGATGATGAATCTGGGAGTGAGTGGATGCGTTGTTGACGATGTTTCGTGATGGATGGGTTTCTTAGCCACATATTTCTAGCCTTCGATTGTATATGTCAAAAACAAGCTTCTGTGTATTTTGCCTCGAGACCGCGTTTTGTACTATGTATGCGTGCTGCGAAATGGTGTGCCAAGATTGCAATTTGCAGTCGAATCTGAGTTCAGACTATGTAAGCTGTATTTGAAGTCGTGACAGATTGGAAAGGTACTTAACTGATCGATGTTTGACGGCAACCATGTTCCGAGTATTTATACCTTTCGAGGAGGCCAAACTGTTATAAATCTGTCACCACCACCCAGTCGCTCTCATCAATCTCCAGGTACCGTTGAAACCTATACCCCACGGCAGCACGGCCAAAGTTCTTACTTTCTCCAGCACCATTCACATCATCACGATCATCCTCCTCCTCTTGCCCTCCATCCACATCCTCTCCTGGCATAGGATACTTGCGAACCGTCCTCAGCGCATGCAACACCTCCCGACTCAACACAGGCGGCACTCTTCCATCCCCGTGCAGTGTTCCCAGCCCCGCAAACTCAAACAACCAGCCCAAAAACACCATTGTCGCGTCCGCCACGCGGGCAAATCGCGCCTCCACATCATGAAACTTGCCGCCCTGCCGCACCACAACCCGCTGCACCCTCTCCTCCTCCCATGCGCGCATATCGTCCTCCGACGGCAGCGGCAGGGCATTGCGGCCTGCGAACCACCGCGCAAGC